AAATTATACGAATGCAACCCTTACCGACTGTTTCGTTCCAAGTACAAATGTCCAATGTTCTTCAAAAACAACAACATGGCGGATCGCAAATCAAAGAACAACCCACATGCTTCATAACACGTGAAGCAAACACGTTACGTCATGCACAGGTCCGCACAACGTGCGCAATGGTAGGTACAAATATCAAGCATATTTTCAAAAAAGAGTGCAATTTTTTAAGGGGCCCTCTCATCAAATCAAAAGGCGAATGAAAGATAATCTTACCTATATTGAGGGGTGATCATTTGGAATTTTCATTCGCTGTTAACTGTTGCGTGGTCTGGATCCTCTCGGAGGAGTTCGGTCCGAATTCTGCCGGCTGTCCCGGACACTGTAATTTTTTTGGCTCCAGAACCCGGCACGCATCACATGAACGATTCAAAATGGACACTTCGAAATTAAAGGTCTGTTGTCTCTTTCATCCGTCGTCTGATTTGACGATTTAACTTAAATGAAATTTCTAATTTAATTTGAGGTCCTACTATACTGTGTTATTTTGTGCGCTCCTTGCATGTGAAATATAGACCAACTCGCACTGACTTACCTGAGATCTGATTTCCATGAAGTCTATCTGTTTTGAGGTAATTAACAGTGTACCTTTTGATGTCTACACTGAGCACAAAATTTGTCTAATGACGGTTTTTATTTTTATTTTCAAGCTGCGTTGTGGATTCGACGGTGACATATTACTCATCTCCTCAAGGCACAAGAAGGCTCAGTTTTGATACTTTCCAGTTTACAGGAAACTATGGCAGTTTTGTTTACTTGCACTGTAACTTAGTGGTTTGCAACGCTTCAGATCCTACTTCTCGGTGCTCTGTGGGCTGCTCTATTGNCTCGCTTCTCGGAACACATAATATCCGGGGACAAATATCAAGCATATTTTCAAAAAGGAGTGCAATTTTTCCGGGGCCCTCTCATCAAATCAAAAGGCGAATGAAAGATAATCTTACCTATAATGAGTGGTGATCATTTGGAATTTTCATTCGCTGTTAACTGTTGCGAGGTCTGGATCCTCTCGGTGGAGATCGGTCCGAATTCTGGCGGCTGTCCCGGACACTCTAATTTTTTTGGCTCCAGAACCCGGCACGCATTACTTGAACGATTCAAAATGGACACTTCGAAATTGAAGCTCTGTTGTCTCTTTCATTCGTCGTCTGTTTGACGATTTGATTTAAATGAAAATTTAAAATTTATTTGTTTGTCCTACTGTGCTATTTTGTGCGGTCCGTACTTCATGTGAAATGAAGACCACCTTGCACTGACTTACCTGAGATTTGATTTCCACCTTGTTTTACCTATTTTGAGGTAATTAACAGTGTTCCTTTTGATGTCTGCACTGAGCCTGAAATTTGCCTAATGACGGTTTTTATTTTTATTTTCAAGCTGCGTTGTGGATTCGACGGTGACATACTACTCATCTCCTCAAGGCACAAGAAGGTTCAGTTTTGATACTTTCCAGTTTACAGGAAACTATGGAAGTTTTGTTTACTTGCACTGTAACTTAGTGGTTTGCAACGCTTCAGATCCTACTTCTCGGTGCTCTGTGGGCTGTTCTATTGACTTCCCCAGGAGAAGACGAGCTATGGAGGAGGAAAGGGGTGTGGCACGGGCCGGCCTTACTGAAGGACCGTTCATTTTTAGAGGTGACGTAGAAGTGGACAGAGATTCCTACACATCAAAAGGTATACACGATTGATTTATTGATGGAATTGATTGATCGTTTGATTGACCGATTGACCCCCCCGATTGACCGATGGACTGGTCGACAGATTGACTGATTGACTGATCGACTGAATGACTGATTGATTGATCGAT